GTCACCCAGCCCCGCACGTGCTGTGGGATCGAACAGTTCGTCTCGAAGGATTCGGGATTTCTGAGTTGGGATTTTGTAACTCGCAGGTCGTTGCTTTGTTTGGGGGGGGGCGTTGGTTTGGTTTTTTGTTTTTTTTTCTTTTTTACATCATCCCGGTTGTGCTCCACAGGGACCACGTGGAGCCGGGAACCGCCTGAGCTTGCCTGTGGCAAGCAGAGGCCCACGGCGCAGGGCGAGGGGTCTGCGTCCCCCCGCTCCCCTCCACGCTGCACAGAGTATTTTTGTACCTGATTCCCACTGCCCCCTCCCCACTCCGGACTCTCAGGCTCCCCCGCACTCCCGCGGGGTGGGGTGGGGTGGGGGGGTGTACAGTTTTGTGTACAACAACGATTAAACGGACAATTTCTCAGCCGGTCTGAGCTGTGAGCGCTCGCGGGGGCCGGCGGCGTTTCGGGATGGGGGGGCTCAGAGAAACTCACTGCGGTGCAGGGAACCGGGGGGGGGCCGGCACACCCCCCACCCCCCCCCAGCGCCGGGTTGAGCACAGCAGCAGCACGCAGCGCCCGCCCTTTTCCGCGGGGAAAAGTTGCCCAAAACGCCCGAAATAGCCTCAAAACGGACGAGTTCCATTTGATCCCAAGCGCACCCTCCCCACTCGCAAATCCTCCTGTTTTAAACTGCTTTTTCACGTACTCAAGAAGAAAATGACGCCAACAGTGGCGCCGCTGACCCCCCCGGGCGCTCAGAAGGGACTGTGCTACGTCGTAACGCAGGGCGCACACATCACGCAGGCGCGTGCCACTCCCATTCATCATGTGCTATGAACCGGAAGGATCAAGAAGTTGAATTGGCGCGCCCGACCCCACTGCCGGTCCCCTCATCTCTAGGTCAGGGCGAGGTAGCGGGACTGACACCGGTGTTCCCCGCCTACCACTGCAGACCCCTCCGCACCAACCGTTCCCGCTCTCACGGCCGCCTTCCGCCCTCCTGCGGGCCGCAACCGCCTCGCTTTCCCGCATTCCGGTGATTAATTACCCATGCTAATTTATTCACAGATCGCCACGCCCTCCCTTGCCAGCACCTTTACGGCAAGGGTGGGATTTTGCGACAGCGGCGCGGTTTGCGGCGTCTGTGGGAGGAAGCGGTAGCCCTCTGCTCTGAGGGGTCCTGGGGGTGGTGCGGGGGTCTCCCCTCGCAGAGCGCTGCTGCCTGCGGTCGGTACAGGGAAGTGTAATTAAAGGGGTGTGTGGGGGTGTATTTAAAGGGGTTTTAGAGGGGGGTAGGTCACGCCGGGGGGCGGGAAGCGGCCGTGGAGTGTGGGTCGGGCCTGGTCCTAGTCGAGCTATGGAGCTCAGCGGCCTGGTGCGAGCCCTGAGGCTGGAGGGGCCGCGGGATGGGGGGCAGCCGGAGCAGCCGTCCCCCGCTGTCCCGCCGGCCGAGCAAGTCCTCCTCCAGATCGGGCTGATCTTCTCTGAGGGGGCTGGCGGTGCCCCCAAGGCCGGTATGCTCAGAGACCTGGGTGCGCTCGTCGAGGCTGCGGACTGCCGGTGGCTTTTTGGAGGCATGAGCCCTGCAACGCTGGGCGAGTTGGTGGCCGCGCTGAATGGCTACGCGGCACCCCCAGCACAGGAGCAAGACGCTGCGGATCTCCCCAGTAAGGACAGCGCGTACGCTGCCACAGCTGAGAGAGCGGCCGATGTTGGCTCAGTGTTTCTACACCTCCTGGCGAAGCTGGAAGCTGCCAAGACCCAGGAGTCTCTGGGTGTCCCCATGGTGGGTCTAATCCTGTGCCATGTGATGGAACCCCTCTACATCTTTGCCGCCACGCATATTGCGGAGAGGCCCTGGACAAACGCGAAGTCTCAGTCAGTGGCGCAGGAGCTGCTGGCGTTGCTGGTTCGGGCTACAGGCTGCGGGTCAGTGGCTGAATTCCTTCGGGGAAAGAATGAAGATGAGGAAGGAAGATTTGGAGCAGTGATGGGGCTCCTGAAACAGGAGTTGACCAAGTGAGTAGGAAGCGGGGGGCAGCGGCGGAGAGGGTGGCGTGTTTGGCTGGTCTCTATGTAGGAAGTACTGGAAACTTTTGGAAAACTCTGTAAGCTCAGGCATTACAAGACACTAGATGATAAATATGGGGCTAAGAGCTTTACAAATACCCCAGTAATGGAAGGTGAGGGGGAATCGGTCAGAGCTTGCTGTCAGCTTAGAGGCCCAGATGCATAGGAAATGAACATCCATTAGTTCCAGTGTTCACTGAGCTTATGTTTGTATTTCCAGAGACACTTGGAAGCGTAACCCTGCCACAAAGTTCGTGTTCTCCTGGACGCTGCCTCAGGTCACCCGGCCCTGGCTTAGCCATTACCTGGAGCGTGTCCTCCCGCCGTCGCTGCTCATTTCGGACGACTACCGGGAGGAGAATAAAATCCTGGGTGTGCGCTGCCTGCATCATATCGTTCTCAACGTGGTAAGGGATTTGAGCTGGGTGGTGACTGAAGGAAGGGTGGGTCAGACGCCTGTTAAGATTCCTAACTTGTAATCCTGGTTCTGCTGTTAACCTAGCAATTCTGCTCCATCTTCCATACTGTCCCTGTGTGTTTAAATATGTGTAGTTCTAATATCTATTACACTAAGTGAAAAATCGCTTTGCCATCTTTTAAACTCAGCTGATTAACATATCAACCTGACAAGTTTGCAGTGGAACTGCAAAAGAGCAGCTGGGGAGGCGAAGGAAAGTGGCTGCTCCTATGCATGGCAGGGTTTAACTTGCATTTTCTTGCAGCATCTGCTCCCGCTTTCTTGTAAGCAGTGTTCCTGATGTGCAGTATGTGCGAGGGTTTGTGAAGGCTGTTCTCTTTCATTAGGTTAAGCGGGTGTTGAATGTGATGCACGGGAATAATGTTCTGTTCTCTGTTGTTGCAGCCAGCTGCTGATCTGTGCCAGTTCAACAGGGCTCAGGTTGTGTACCATGCCCTTTACAACCATCTTTATTCACGAGGGGCCCCTCTCATCCAGGTAGGACAGCAGAACCTCATTTTAATCTGCCTTGCAGTATTACGTATCTGCCCCACAAGGGATAGCCAGCTTAAGGCATGAGGAGGCAGAGACTGCTTCTTCGCAGGCAGTCCAGTCAGGCTGTTACTAGCTGATGCCTGTGACCGAGAGGCAAAGTAACTCAGTAGATTTCAGGAAAATACCAAAGTAGAGGGAGGACCTCTTGCCTCGTGTCCCCTTTCAAGTGGCGGCCTTGCTGAAGAGGGCCAGTAACAGGCAGTAGAAGTAGTTGGGTCTGTCAGGTGAACTGCAGCAGCTGTGGGTGGTCAGGGGGGTTGGAAGTTACTGGCGCTTTGGGGAGGATATCAGAGACACTGCCCAGATTTCCTGTCTCGCACCAAACCAGGCAGTACTGCTGTGCCTGCTGGACTTGTTGCCGATCCTGGAGAGAGCCCAGCGGCAGCAGAAGCAGACCAGACCAACCACCCCCTGCGATGAGGTGCTGCAGCTGGTTCTGACCCACATGGAGGCAGAGCATCGCCTTGCGCTGCGGCGGGTGTATGCCAGGACCCTGCCTGCCTTCGTGCAGAGGTGAGAGCAGCAACCGCAGCCCTGCGGGGACTTGCTTTGGCCTTGGTATATATTTCCCTCCTCAGTGCGTGTTTCTTGGTGTCGGCAGACTTGGCATCCTGATAGTGCGGCACCTGAAGAGGCTGGAGCGAGTTATCCTGGGGTATCTGGAAGTCTGTGATGGCCCCGAGGAAGAAGCCCGACTGGGAATCCTGGAGACACTGCAATGCACCATCGAGCATGCTTGGCCCAGGTACCGGTCTGGAGATGAAAGATACTGTAGAAAGCATATCCTGAATACTGTCCCTCTTTCAGAGCCAAACTTACTGTTGCTTGAGAAAAAGGCCCTGAAATCTTAAGGGAGAATCTGTCACAGGGAGCGATCACTGGCATTACTGCTTTGCTGAAAAACCTGGCCCCAAAATTAAGCTGGGTCCTCATTTTGATCTGACTTCTGCCTGTTCTAGAAGCATCAACTTGGCTAAAAACTAAATCTATGTGCTCTGTGGCAGAACTGTGGAGTTAAGCCCTGTGCTGTGAATGAGTCTGCCCAATGACAGGCATTCCTGATGCACCATCCTAAGGTTACCTCTGTGTTCAGGGTCTGGATCCTACCTCTGGTGGGTGTACTGAATGAGGCAGCTTCTTCAGCCTCGTTGCTGAAGATTAGCAGCTGCTAATCTTAGGCCAGCTACAGTCCTGCTCCACACGTAAATGGCAACTAGCAGCTCCTGCGTGAAGTGTCTAGGAACTGCTAAGCAAGGCTGTGCTTTCCCCTGCCTTGCAAAGAGGATTTAGAATAAGGCGCAGCTGCCGTTTCCCATTGCAGAATGCCATGCAGACTCCCTGTGCTCCTCAAAGCCCTGCTGAAGATGATCTGGGACGTACACACTGACCAAAGTTCAACGCCAGAGCCAGTAAAAGCTGCCTTGCTCCAGGGGGCCACTGAATGCCTCATCCTGCTGGATCGCTGCTCTGAAGGGCAAGTGAAGGTGAGCAGGGGACCCAGGACTGCTTCATCTCTGATCCCTTCCCCCTTAGAAGGAAGGGGCAGCGTGGTGCATGCAAAAGCCCACTTGCTTCCTCAGTCCAACAGTATTTTGAAAGCATCGGTTTCCACCCACCACAACATTAGTACTTGACTTCATCAATAAGTGACTCGATGCATATCGACAGGTACCTATATATGTATAATCCTCTTCCAACAGATAGCTGGGGGAGGGTTGATAACACCACAAACCTGAGTGTGCCAAAGCACTGGAAATTGATGCTTTTCTTGTTTCAGGTCCTGCTGGAAGGTGTGTACAGCAGCTGTGAGGAAAACCGCATACGGGAATGCATCAGAAAAGTGCAAGAGAACACGTGAGGCGTGGCTGATCAATGTTCACCCTGCTTTTTGTACAGTAAAGTTTTTTTTTATTTATTTAAAATTACTGTCTTTCTCATCCCACTCTTGTTAGCCCCATACCTCTCCCAAACAAGATACACTTGGGCGCTCGCCTAGCCACTTGCGGGCTTCTCCATGTCTAGAACAAAGCAGCAGTCCAAGCTGAGCCTTGTGGGGTTGTAGAGGTGGGGAGTCTTCTTCCTTAAAACTGCGCTTCATGCAGGAGTTGCACAAACTTGCTGCAATTGCCAGGGGTTGGGACAGAAACCCTTCTTTTCTTAAAGAAAATTGTTAGTCTAGAATATGGAAAAAAAAAAGTAGTAATTTTTGAGGGTCCTGCACAGAGTGGCAAAGTTGTGACAGATCTGGAGTCCTGTCATTCAGTACAAAATGCGGGTTTAGGAAGGAGTCAGGCTGCTTTTGTTTTGGTGGTTGGCTCTGTTTCTTTTTCATACTCTATTTCAATGTAGGGACGTTTTCTTCTGGCTGGTCCTTTCAGGGGAGTTTTCCCTTTAGATTTGGAGTGAGAGGCTTTCTTTTCTACTTCTTCCTCCTCTTCCGGCTCCTCTTCACTACTTGTCTCCAACTTATCCATGTCCTGAGAGAGACAGACAAGAGTGACATCAAAGGATGCTGTGTAACTAAACCTCCTCTTTCTGCAAAATTATCTCGGGTTTCCATTTTGTAATTCCTGGCTCCCAGCTGTCTAGCCAGAGGAGTTGGGCTGTAGTGGATACAGTGCAGTCTGACTGTATCATTATGACCCACAAATCTGATTTTGCTGGCTCTTATCCCGTCACTAGAGACACCAAGAGGGTGGCGTTACTTTCAAACAGCGTAGCCTGACAGTTTGTACCTGGTGCTTCACCTACCTCAAAGTCACTGAGGTCACTGTCATCTGCTTCCACAAACTCTCTTTTATCCACGTCCTGTAAGAAATAAAAGTCAGAAGCTAGTACATGCAAACTGAGCACAATACAGTGTCATGGCTTGCAATGGAGGAGCCATCAAGGCCACTGCTTGCACACACACACTTTTTCTGTGTGCACACACACATCTCTCCTAACCTCTTCTTCTCCCCCTGACATCCAAACTAGGATGCCCAGCATGCAGGTGAATCTGAGGTGCTGCACCAGGTCAGGAAAGGATTAACTGTGGTGCTGTGGCTGTGGTGCTGTGGCATTACCTCATCATCATCGTCTTCCTTCTCTGCATCGGACTCGCTCTCGCTTTCTGCATCTTGCTGTTGTAGAGCTTTGTCAAAGGCGTGAATGGGGAAGTTGTAAATGTCTCCATACTGAAAAGGAAAATGTGGATTTTCTGTAAGTCACAGGAGGAAGATAGCCGTTGGTGGTAGGGTCATCTGAAGCCTATGGCCTGCAGGGAGGCAGTACCAAACTAGGCTGAACTTGTGGCTTGGCCCCTTCCCTAATTCTGAAGTACGCACTGCTGTACAGAAAATGAGGGGCTCTGCGTTTTAGGGAAGCAAGTCCTCCAGCCTGTTATACAGTCACTCAAGGGCAGCGTGCCGTCATCCCCTACCCCTCCTACGTGGGCGATGCTTCTCTTTCATACCAACGCCCACCTCCCTCCCTGGAGAACCAGCAGGACAGAGAGCAGTAGGAGCAGTTTTCCTGCTGGGCTCTGAAGGCAGTGATCCTTACTGTATCCTGTTTCAGTCTTTCCAGTAATTCCTTCTCAATGGCGTTATCCAGCTGAGCAGCAATCAAGGCTTTCTCCTAAAAGAGCAAAGAGGAGCTGTGTCAGTTGTTTGAAAGACATGTGGAACAGAAGCGACAGATGGGAGATTCCATGAAAGAGCGGCATTACCTCTCTTCTCTTCTCTCGCCTTTCAATCTTTCTGCGTAAAGGAACAAGCTTCCTCCTACAGGGAATGACAAGCGCTAGTTAGTGAATCTGTCAGCCTCTCATGTAGCAGACGAGCAAATGCTCATTCAGGGCAACAACCAGCAGTTACGTCGTTAGAAATGTGCCTGCAACTAGTTTAAGTGCATTTATACAGGCAGACTACACTGCAATTAAATCTGTTTCAGCCAGGTTCATTCACAAGCCTGCCAAAGCCTCAGGAAAACAGCTAGGTGCCCTCGGGCTCTGTGTACAGCCAGTGACCCTGGCTCTGTGGACGGGCAGCGGCTTGATAAGCCAAACCAACGTGATCACTCTTAGTTGTGTCACTTACTGTCGCTTCAGCGTCAGCTTCCGGATGCGGATGAGGTACTGCGTGATCTTAGTAAATCGCTGCTTGCATTTGTGTCGGATGAACCGCGGCCAGTAGATGAGGTTCTCGTCTATCTCTTCCAGTGCTTTCTCATAGTTCTTGCTTAGCAGGACCTGGGGCGGGGGAGAGGGAAGGAGTTGAACTGCGGAGCAACAACAAAGCGGGGACATACCTGGTTTGGGAGGAATCCCATCGCTCCCTGCCCTCTGCCACCTCTCGGTAAATTATATTAGAGCACGCTCGGTTAACTCACCCGCTCCCAGAGTCGACGGGGAAAAGCTGCCCGCTCTATCGTCTTCATGTACAGGTAACACCGACCTGAAGAAAAGGGGAACGTGATCCCAGGCAAGAGGCTGAGCGTGTCCCAGACAGTGGGAGAGTGCTCAGAGCCGGGGTTCCCTCAGGCAGGGGGTATTCGCCCCCTCCCCACCCAAGGGATTGTTCCTTGCAGCTGCCGAACTCTCACCTTTCTCCTCCCTGACGGTCGCATACTGACTGTTCGCCAGCGGGCAGGAGGAGCGGTTGCACAGACCAGTCAGGTTATACTCATTGCGGCAAAAATTCTGGGTTTTTGTCCTGAAAAGAGGAGAGGCAAGGTAAAGGGGAAAGGCTGGAGTACCCCACTGCGCGCCCTGCCCCTCGCCGCCGCCAACCCCATCCTCCTCTGCGCCCCTCGTGCGTGGCACTGGGGGCACAAGGACGAGGGGAGCGCCCCGGGCCCTGAGGGGCACCTAAATTCGTCCCTCCCCCCCTCCTCCAAAACCCCCTCACTCACGTTATCTTGTAGGAGCAGAACTGCTTGTTCCCCAGCGTGTCCCAGACAACCTGCCAGGACAAACAGCGGGTGACACTTCGCCCGCCACCTCCCTGCAGACCCCCCCCCCCCCGGGG